ACACCTCCATCCTGGGAGATGGAATTCTAATTGGTTATACTTCCTGAGACTTTTGCCATGTTTTATCCATAAAAGGTTGTTTTTGAAAGGCTGTCATTAAAGACATCTGAAAGCCATGCTCAGGTTATTGTCAGAGCTTACATGGTCTTGTCTTAAACTGCTTAGAATGGCATTTTGTTCCAAATTAAAAGAACTCTGAAAACTTATCAGTTTTTTCATGCTGATTTATTTGAGCAAGGCAATCAGCTGTTCAGTTATGTCAGTTTAACTCGTTTTACTGAACCAGCAAACACTCAAGGAACAAATACATTTTCTAGCCATTTTTAAACTAGAACAACTTTGCAGAATTAAGTAATTTCAGCAACATTTTAAGTAATCTTTACCAGTCGACAACATAAGGTTTTTAAAATTGTTTTAAGGTGAGATCAAATGAGATTTGATAGTGTGGAGATAGTACTTGTCTTCTCACTCACCCCAAGAAAAACACAAAAATATCTGATCAGATTATTCTAAACTATTCTGCAATGTCATTGAAGGTGATTGTTTCCATGTGCCCAGTTGCGTATGAATGTGCTGCTAGATTAGAAACAAGATGCAGGTTTGGTGCGTGGGTATCTGTGGTTAATAGAAACAGCAGTTATGAGAACTCTTGCGTACAGAGACCATGTCACAATGCACTGAATGGAACCAGACAAACCACAAATCCGATACACTCACAAGATTAAAATGGGTGTCAGCATTTATCAGTGATAATCTACTGTCTCTCAGCTTCCCTCGAAGCATTACTTTTTGAATGAGTAAGATGATTAGAAATTGACTTCCGTTCCAGTATCGTGGGAAATGCTATTAATTGTGGTTTTTATCAAGTAAAATAGTTAAACTTCCTCCACAAAAAGTTACACAAGCGGGCTCCCTGCAGTTATTGAGTAATCATTTTCCAAGGTTGGAAAATTCATGAAAAATTGGACATTTTAGCTTCTAATATCATTTTTTGCTCCAATTATCTCAGACAGTAATAAGGCCTTACACTTCAAACTTGACCCTTATATAGACAATCCCAAAAATGTTCCATATGTGGAATATTAAGTGGATAGGAGTGCTGGTTGTGAAGAAAAAATTATTTCAAAAAAAGTCATAATTTCAAAAAACTCTCCTATTGAAACAAGCACACAAGGGGACCTAATTCTTCGCATACAACATTTCGGATTACATTTTATAAATAAAAATGAATAACAAATTGTTCCAAATAAGTTCCAAACATTCTTTAATTATTAAATTCAGACTCTTGGGTCCATTGTAGAAAAATATAAACAAAGTTCATAAGCAACATAATAAACAATACCAAAGATCTGGAAATATCTCGAGCTACCTTGCCCTCTGTACAAAATATTACTGATGAAATAGTCTCAATGGGCATTATTTTAGATATCAATGATAAAAAGTATTTATCAAGACAACAGCTCAAACTGCGTATTTCACTGTCCACAATATAAGACTGACAAAATAGTTTCAATGTGAATGATTTCAAAAATCACTGACAAAAAAATGCATCCAGACAATAAATCATAAATATTTCCAATTTAGTATCATATCAAATATTAATTACACATGTTACAGCTAATTTTCAGGGGGGTGCTACAGTTTATTTACTTACTCACAATGTCAATCGGTCAGTCAAAAACTAAATAATAATAATAATAATGATAAACTTTATGTATATAGCACTTTTCAAAACAGGATTACAAAGTGTTTTATAGATTTAAAGAGAAGTGCAAGGAAAACAACAAATAAGGACATTAAAAGAAGTAAAAAACAATATAAAAAAATATATGAACACATGAGAAGAATAAAACTCAGTAAAAGCAGACAGTTAAAAGACAATAAAGGAAGGAACAAAACAGTCAGAAGATAAAATGTACTGCCCTTGATATTGCCATCAAACGGAGTAAAAGTACACTCATAAAACAACTCCTGTAAAAGCACATCTGTAAAAATGTGTTTTTAAAAGAGCTTTAAAAGAGGATAAAGTGCTTGTAGATCTGATCTCCTCAGGGAGACTGTTCCAGAGGGTGGGGGCTCTTACAGGAAAGGCCCGGTCACCTTTGGTCCTCAGCCTCGACTGTGGGACGGTGAGCAGAGCCTTGGCTCAGGGCCACAGGCTACGACCGGGCACATATGGGGTGAGGAGATCAGAAATGTATTGAGGTGCAAGTCCAGAGTGTGCTTTGTAAGTTAAAAATAAAATCTTAAAATCTATTCTAAAATTAATTGGAAGCCAATTAAGGGAAGCTAAAATAAGAGTAATGTGATCTCTGTTTTTGGATTTGGTGAGGAGTCGGGCTGCTGCGTTCTGGACCAGCTGTAGTTTGTGTGTTAACTCTGCTGGTTAAGAACAGTGTACAGAGATTTACAGTAGTCTAGACGAGATGAGATAAAAGCATGAATAACAATTTCTAAATTATGTCTGGATAAAACGGACCTCACCTCAGAGAGTCTCCTAAGCTGCATTAAACAAGACTGCACCACTGAGTTGACATGCTGGTTCAGGTTAAACTTTTCATCAAAGATGACCCCAAGATTTTTACATTTTGCAGCTATATTACAGGATAATGAACCTAAGTGTGTTGCTGCTGTGGCTGATCCAGGATCAGTAATAATTACTTCGGTTTTGTCTAAGTTTAACTGGAGGAAATTTTGAGCCATCCAGCATTTAAGGTCCTGGATGCAGCTGTTCAGAGATTGTAACTGATTAAAATCATTGGGGTTAAAAGACAGGTACAGTTGTGTATCATCCGCATATGAGTGAAAACTCAGGTTGTGATTGCGGATGATATGTCCCAGGGGTAACATGTAAAGGGACATATCCAATTTATATTTTCTTACTGTGCCAATTTCTGTATATCTAAACTGAATAATCATCATCACTGTCTCCACTATCATCAGGAATGTCCTCTTGGCTAGCTGCTCTGGAATCATTCTGACAGTTCTTGCACCCACATAACTCTGTACAGTTCAGGTTTGTAGATTCACAGGAACACCGTTTTGTAGCACATTCTCTTGTTTTAAACTTACAGCTAATAAGCTTCAGCACCTCTCTAGGAGCAGGATCATTAATCATCCAGTTGACGGAGAGTTGATTCTCGTGGATACCATGGCCTTCTGGTGATGGTGCACATTATATCAAATACTCAAAGCAAAATGATCCTGCCGTAACTGAAGCTTTGTAGAACAGAATTGTTCACCAGTGATGCCCTTTTTATTTCCCTTTTTCAACTGAATAGTGAAAGGGCAACTACTGTAGGCCTATCAATCATTATTACGACAACATTTTGAATTAAATATTTTTTCCTATGGCATAAGGAATGTTGACACCAAAAGATTGTCTTGTGTGATTTGTTAAAATTGCATTGATTGCAACTCTAATTGAAGTATACTACTATTAACTATAGAATCAGCAAATATTATAATAGATGGATGTTTGGAATCTTAGAAACTTAGTTATTTTGAAAAATGTAAACAGCCTGCCCTACATCCATCCAAGAGGGAAAGAGGACTTATTAACAATGAATTTTATTCCATTTTTATGTAGAAACTGAGAAACCAATATTTGACTAGCTAAAAATTTGAATAGCCCTGCCCTGTCACTCAAGTGAGTCATTCAGTACCAGCAGTTTTGCAGGTGATTTGCTTTCTAGAGCTGTTTCTGCTGACTCTAGGAGCAAAACCCACCAAATGTTATTGTGTTTTAATGTCACCTGTTGTGCTTCAGTGTAACGTGAACTCAGCTGGCGTTTACATCCGTTTGTTTCTCTCCTGCTCTCTGTGCTCACATGAACTACATTTTAATACAGTGCAATTCCCAATGAAGCTGTTCTCATCATATTTTATTTCTGTTGTCAGAAAACAGAATAAATATGAAAAACTCACTGAAACACGCTGATTGAATCCATTGATTTTATAGCCACATCACTGTCTGACAATGTAACCATACATGAGTTCCAAACAATAGCTTTGCTGTAAATTTGGCGATATTTAAAAGTAAAATGTCGGCTTAGAGAGTAAATTAGAGGCGACAGAAAGTCCTGAGGCCCATACAATGGAGCAGGTTTATTAATTACTGTCATGCAGGACAAGATTGTGTAACAACATTACAGATATAGTCCATTTACAAATACAAAATCGTCATTCAAACCAATAAAGAAGTTTACTGCAAATCTTGTAAAGTCAAAAAGTATATTGAAAAACAAAGTCAATTAGAACAATGAAACTGCTTTAAAATTGCAGCTCTAAAAACCTAAGAGACTGTCTTTGCACTGAGCTGTGCTAAACTGAAGACTGGACAATTGACTATGTAGGCGATGTCGTATTATGTGTTGAACTGTTATCTGGAACATAACTTGCTCTGGAGCAGGTAAGGACTTTAGCATAAGTTACCATAACAATGCATCTCAGTAAGAAGTGAACCAACATCGTGAAAACCGAGAGTTAAAGTTACCTCACTATTCCCAAATCCTGCCTCATAGTACAGGCCCCTGATGTCACACACACTCATTCACATCTGAGTTGGCTTCTGGTCAATCAGCTGTTTTTGTGCCCCTTTTCAATTACAGACGCGGAGAGAGTCTTCTTTCTGAAATGAGCGTGGACAGCAGCAGCTATAGACACTGCAACAATTCATTATAAACAGAGTAAAACACCATCCTTGCAATTTCATGAGCTCAAAAATTAAACACATTCTGGGAACATGTCAGACTTTACTAATTTGTTTTAAAAAAAAAAAAGGTGCACAGTGTTGGGTAGCCGTGGTTCTGTCACCAGTTTGTTTTGCAATAGATTTTTTTGTTTGTTTGTTTTATTATATTTATTTGTTTGTCTTTGGTTTTATTTTACTGCCATGAATATGTTCCTGTAACATTTGCCATCGACCTTCCTTGGAATGACATAAGTTCCATGCATTTTTCTTTAAAAATAGGCTGTTGAAATTAACACAAAGCAAAGTATATCGCATCTTGCTGCTTAGTTACCGAAATATAGAACACACCCCAAGATTCCAACATTGAATAGCGAGAATTAAAGATAGCTTCATCTGTTAGACACTGTTGACAGCATTTTTTATAAATGTATTAATTTGGCCAATTAGGCAGTGGATTCGCCCAGACCACATTTCTTTCGTGTGAACAACGATTCTGTTTTTGATCTTGTGAATCTCCTTTGTCTTTTTTTACCTGATATATAGTTTCCACTTTAGTTTCACGGCAAAGGCATTTACCAATAGCACTGGGACCACAGGAGCACCATAGCATAATGTGGCCTGTTTGCATTTGCGGTCTATACACAGTGTCATCTTTATAAGAACTTATTGGTGACTCAGAGTCAGAGAAACATAGTTGGAACACTGGTCCGAATTGCAGCCTATTGTGTCGGATGCCATTATACATCCAGTCCAGTGTCCTCAGGATCCAGTTCAGGCCCTGTTTGATGATCACGGAGATGGCATTAAATAGAGAGTATGTGCAGCACACTCCTAATAGCATCAGGAGGCAGTTGGCAACCTGGTACCCCCGCGTGTCCTCGTGGTGCTCTCTCTGACTACTTACAAAGTCCCCAAAGCCCACTGTGCTGAAGGCTACAAAGCAGAAATAGAGGGACTCCAAGTAAGTCCACCCCTCCATGGCTGAATAGAAGAAAGCAGTGCCACATGCAAAGAGCAAAACAGTGAAAAAAAGGATGAGTGTGACTTGGTAAACAGATGGTTTCCATTCTTCATTTCTGTTACCTTCACTGGTTTTGTCCTCCAGTCCACTGTGTCTGCTTGGCCTCGCGTGGAACCAGAATATCAGGACACTGAGTAACGTTATGATTCTCTCCAGGAAGAGATTGAGAAAGAGGACTGTAGCCGAGCAGCCCAGCAACCCATAGAAAACAAGCAGCGCCTTTCCCGTTGTGGTGGATGGTGCTGTCACTCCGAATCCTGTGAGAAACACATCAGGAATTAGGTCTCGTCTGTTGTTGCAGACACTGTCGTAACATTACTGTCAGCGCAAAGGGTTTTATTGTTACTGTGACATTTGTTGTAGTGTCAAAATCATTTTTATGCTTTTTTAGATAAGTGGCAAATTTAACTATTGATAAAACTAAATTCAATTTTAAGTTCTAAAGTGAGAAGAAATAGAAAACCATAAAAAGTTTATGTTGATGAAATATGCCATTGTACTGTTACTGCAATCCATTATAGTCGAGATTCATAAAGCCTAGAAATAACTAAGAAGAAAGAAAGAAAGAAAGAAAGAAAGAAAGAAAGAAAGAAAGAAAGAAAGAAAGAAAGAAAGAAAGAAGAGGGGAAAAAATGCCTGATTTATACGACTCACACATTGCTGAAAAAAAACCCTCAGTATGTTGTCATCAATTGCAAAACCAATGAATAATCCAGACAAATACCATCCAGATGTTTTAGCTTATTTCCCTTCATATTTACGTCTGTATTTTCTGGTCCATAATAATGCACGTGGTTTAAATGGTAAATGGTCTGCACTTATATCGCGCTTTTCTACCTTAGTGGTATTCAAAGCGCTTTACAATATGTTTCTCGTTCACCCATTCACACACACATTCATACACCAGTGGTGACAGAGCTGTCATTCAAGGTGCCTGCCTGCCATTGGGAGCAACTTCGGGTTCAATGTCTTGCCCAAGGACACTTTACCTGTGGAGGGGCAGGGGATCAAACCACCAACCTTGTAATTAGAGGTCAACCGCTCTACCAACTGCCACTCGGTTTAGTCTGTGTGCCAAAACAAACTAAGCCTTAGCTCGTGTTTTATTGAGGAAATGAATGAAGATTGTGTCTATGTTTTCAGCTGTGTGTCACTGCTTCCACCGACTCTTCCTGAACTAATGACCTTTCTGTCAGCAGCCCTCTCTCTGAAGAATCTTTCTTCCCCTTTATTTGTTAATGACCGGATTGGACTAAAACTCTGCAAGTACTCTCCTGGGAAACGGAAATGCTTCCTAACCTTTGTCCTTGTGACATTTAAGCAGCTGTTCTACATGTTCTGTCATCTAAAAAATATTTAACACAAAATGTGATAAGGGCGCTGGCTTAGCTGGCAGTCCCGACAGTTCCTGTCTCCCCCAGTTATTGTCTTTATGTTTCTTGGACGGATGTAACTGTGAATGGAATTTCTCTGTAAGGGATTAATAAAGTATTATTATTATTATTATTATTATTATTATTATTATTATTATTATTATTATTATTATTAATAATAATAAATGTTGTAAAAGTCATTTTGAATCCTGGCTATTGAGGAAGATTTGTTATTAGACTATTTGTTACATTTCATTCTGAAGACTGTCACCGTTGGGGGCAGCAGGCAATCTGTTGTTCACACTTTAGTTCACTTCTTTCATTTTAGTCATTCGACAGTGATACTATTTTTGTTAAACCAGTCTCCTCCTTTCCTGTTTTACACATGCTTCCCCATCCTCTGTGATCTTCCTGTGATTTCACCCACTCTCCTCTCTGAAACTTTGACGTTCTCAGGAAGTGAATTGAAGCAGAGATTTCCAGATGCTTCTATGGTCAGACTAATCCTTCTTTAAATGTCAGATTAACGTCATAGCCCATGTTGGCAGTTCACTGGATTCATCATGTACAGTTGAAACCAGAAGTTTACATACACTGTATAAAAAGACACAACATTTTTTTTTCTCACTATCTGACACTAAATGTGGCTAAATTTTTCCTGTTTTAGGTCAGTTTGGATTGCCAAAATTATTTATATTCGCTAAATGCCAGAATAATGAGAGAGAGAGAATTTATTAAAGAATTTTTAATGACTTTCTTCAAAGTCAGAAGTTTATATACTTTTCCTTAGTACTTGGTAGCATTGCTACAAGCTTCTCACACTAGTTTGGTTTAGATTTGACCCATTCCTCCTGACAGAACTAGTGTCACTGAGTGTACAAAAGACTATTATTTGCTTTATTTTGTTTAATGTTTAATGATGTTTCATTTATAATGCAAGTTGTGTAGTTTGAGTATAACTGTAGTATAGCAGTTTCGTTTGGGCGGAAGTGACGTCATCACTACGGCCAAGAAGTTAACCAGCAGGAACGTTGCTATCAGTCCGAAGAACAGTTCCCTACATGTTACCTACATGTGTGCGTTAATGACAAAAAAACACACGCACACACAAACCCAAACTTCTGTCCATTGTAAAGATTGAGTGGAATACATCTCATTGAAGTTAAAGCCTCGTCTCATCTTTCCTTGCCAATCACCTCCACCTGCCCGCACTAACACGGTTTAAGAAACATCCTGGCCTCAGGTAGTGTTCTGGTCGACACTCCTAGCCCCTCAGTTCTTCCCCACACTGAGTCAGGTTTGTTGGCCGCCTTGCTCCAAACACATTTTCAGCTCTGGCGCAGAACCTGTCTCCTTCCTTAGAAGTATGATGGCAGGACATTCCATGCTGTTTATACGCCCATTGTTTGAAGAGATAAATGTCAAACCTTCAGTCATCTGGAAATTGTATCCAAGGATGAACCAGTCGTGTGGAGGTCCACAGTTCTCTTCCTGATATCTTGGCTGATTTCTTTAGATTTTCCCATGTTGTCACAAAAGGAGGCAGTGTGTTTGAGCTGTGCCTTAAAATACATCCACGGGTTTTCCCTTCAGTTAACTCAAATTTTGTCAGTTAACTTATCAAAAGCTTTCAAAGCCATGACATCATCATCTGGGCTTTCCCAAATAGTTTGAAGGCATAGCAATCTTAGTGTATGTAAACTTCTGACTTTGAAGAAAGTAATGCAAAACTATCTACAAAATTCTCACTCTCATTATTCTGGCATTCAGCGAATAGAAATAATTTTGTTAATCCTAACTGACCTATATCAGGAAAAGTTTAGTCTGATTTAATGTCAAACAGTCAGAAAAAAAAAAAGTTGTGTGTCTACTTACACAGTGCATGTAAACCTCTGGTTTCAACTGTACATACTCAGGTTTTGCAGGTCACACCGTATCTGTAGTTTCTCCTACATTCATAGGTAATAAGTTGTTATAAATACCTGAAATGACCTGAACATTTCCACTGTCACATCCGTGGTGACAGGCCACTGCCGTGCTGCAATAGTCACACTTTTAGCCGATGTAGAACTGTGGATCTTTATTTCAGAATAAAGTAGCCTACCTAAATGTTTTCTATGACATTTTACAGAGAGAATCATCGTGATCAGTGGATGAATCCTACTGTCTTTTTCTCCAGGTCCTACTAAGGATAAATTGTAGACTGTAGACTCTTTGGTGATCAGCATGTTAGCAGAACAGCATCAGCAGCAGTGTTCCTCCTACACAGGAGTTGTTTGGCAGTTTGAGCAGTGCAATCCATTATGTGGCCAGTGTAGTCAGATGGTTTCAATTAATAGGAGTAGATTTGCTTATTTATGAGACAGACAGTTGAAAAGTGTCTTGATTAAACTAAAACAACAGTGTTCAATTGTTATGACCCTGTGGGTCATCTCATGTTTTTGTGTTTTGCTGCTTGTTTTCTCTCCTCAGTGTGTGTGTGCGTGTGTGGTTTATGAATGAATGGATTAGGAGCAGGTGGTGACTCTGGATCGGCTGTCTCGCCTGCTGCCTCGCCTGATTCCAGCCACGCAATTGGTCAGAGGGCGGGCCCATCCACTATTTGAACAACCCGCCAGCTGCACTCGTTCTCCTCACCTCCAGCCTCGCCACCTCAGAGAAAGCTGATTCACAGTTGTATCACCTTACAGTAACTACATTACTTCTAATCTGAACAGATATTTGTTCTTATGTAAAGTTAAAAACTAAGAGTTGACATTTTGATGGTTCTGTCTGGGTGATCTGGTTTCCTCCCACAGTCCAAAGTCACACATTGTAACTTAACTCGAAACAGCACCAGCAGCACTGACATTAAAACCATGTGAAGGCAAAACTCAAAACTCAGCACGCTAACTAAGACCAAAAGGAGAGCACACATTACTCCAATTTTAATGTCTCTGCACTGGCTACCTGTCTCTTATTGGTTTATAAAGTTCTTTATGGCCTGGGTCCTTCTGGGAGTGATAATGTTTTTAAATGCAAACTCAAGGCTGACATTTTTAGTCATATATATATATTTTTTTATTGATTGCAATTGATTATATACATTTTTAATGTCACAATTTTTTAGAAACAATTATCTTGATTGTTTTTTCTATTTATTTATGTAGCTACATATTTAATCTGTATGTCGTTTATTACTTTTTAAAAATTTTCTAGTTCTGTTTTTATGAATTTTGACTTCAATTTTCCTTTTATATATGTACATATAGATCTATATCTATCTATATATCTATATTATCACATATTTAGTCCTTCATTTATAACATGAAGTTTTTTGTGAAGGGTGTTGTGTGTATTGTTTTATTGCATTTTCATGCCTTTCATCTGTAAATAACGTTTTGTTACATTTCATTTGTATTAAGTGCTATGTAAACAGGAGGATATCAGTGTTGCACACTTTAGACAAATTCTCTGCTAGTTCTTTTGGATATAAGTCAGGAAACATACTTGGCCAGGCCATAGTTTTAACTTTTTTCTTCTTTTAGAAGCTATTTTGTGATTTCGGCAGTGTGTTTTGGGTCGTTATTACGCTGAAACATTCTTCCTCTGTGGACTTGTTTGTGGACTTCAGTTCTGCTTTTAATACACTTCTTCCAAGCAGACTGTTGTTCAAACTGCGCAGTCTGGGCATCGGCGAGCACACGAGCAGATGGATCAGAGACTATGTGCACACCCAACATGCTGGATCTCATCTGAATCAAACAAGTTGTAATTGTCAGTTTTTTGTTTTTGTTTTTCTTTCCATGCATTTTAACAAAGCCTTATCCACTGTCTTTCAGACTGTCTAAGTTGTCACAGAAACTGATTTCCACTGACTGGCTTGTTCTCAACCTCCTGATTACAGGTATAACTGTGTTTCAACTGATTTATAGTTGGTGACTGGTCTTCCTGTATCCCTTTCCCTCTTTGTGAAGTCAGAAAGGTTAGATTTAAATTTGGTTAAGGACAGTATGCTTTAAGGAAGGAAGGAAGGAAAGGAAGGCATCTGATGATGAAATGGGAGCCATCAAATGCATCATGATTCATGTGAACTGTGAATGTTCAGTCTTGAGAAACAAAAACATGTAAGAGTTATGTTCCGCTTTATGGATCCCAAGTGTGTCATTACCTCATTAAATGACAGATTGCAGTCAGTAAATAGAGAAACTGCTTGGTAAAAGGAAATTGATCTGGGCTGATTGCTGTCTGTTCCTCAGTGTCCACAGTGGCACAGAGTTTCTAAAAATAGAGCAGAGAACAGGAGGGCAGCTGTAAATTGATTCTCAGAGATAAAGCTAGTTTAACCTTTATCTTGTTTGTTCGCTATAGGTTCAGGTAAAATATTGACTTCCCTCTGAATCTCACTAAATCAATATGGCTTCACATATCTAATTAGGTTCGTATATTTAGTTAACTTGTGTGTGGTATGAATAATGAGTAACACGTGGCTTCCCATGTCAGCTTTGTGCTTGGGGTATGCCTTGTGAAAACGATTGTACTTCAGAAATTTCATTTCAACTTCAAAAAATGTACCCATCATGTTTATCTGTGGGCTGCAAGGTGGCTTCGTGGTTAGCACCGTCGCCTCACAGCCAGGAGATCTCCAGTTTGCGTCCCAGTTAGGACACCCAGGATCTTTCTGCGTGGAGTTCTCTGCAGGTTCTCCCCGTGCGGCGTGGGTTCTATCTGGTTCTCTCTCTCAGCTTCCTTCCACAAGTCCAAAAACATGTTGAGGTTAATTGGTGATTCTAAATTGTCCGTAGGTGTGAATGTGAGTGTGCTTGGTTGTCTGTCTCTAAGTGTGGCCCTGTGATGGACTGGTGACCTGTCCAGGGTGTCCCCTGCCTTCACCCTGAGTTGGCTGGGATAGACTCCAGCCCCCCTAGTGAGGATTAAGCGGTGTATAGATAATGGATGGATGGATATTTATTTGTAAATATATACAGTTGAAGCCAGAAGTTTACATACTGACATAAAGACATAAAGCCTTTTTTTCCTCACTGTCTGACATTAAATCAGTCTAAACTTTTCCTGTTTTAGGTCAGTTAGGATTACCAAAATTATTTATATTGGCTAAACACCAGAATAATGAGAGAGAACATTTTTTAGATTGTTTTGTATTACTGTCTTCAAAGTTGCTTACATAGACTAAGATTACTACGCCTTCAAACTATTTGGGAAAGCCCAGATGTTGAGGTCATGGCTTTAAAAGCTTTTGATAAGTTGATTGACGACATTTGAGTTAACTGAAGGGGAAACCCGTGGATGTATTTTAAGGCACAGCTCAAACACACTCCCTCCTTTTTGTGACAACATGGAAAATCTAAAGAAATCAGCCAAGATATCAGGAAGATAGCTGTGGACCTTCATCCCTGGGTACAATTTCCAGATGCTTGAAGGTTCCACATCTACCACCAAATTGGTTACACAGTGGCTTCAGAACAACAATTTGTGGCCAGAGTTGCAAAGGCGTGTGGAGCAAGGTAGCCAACAAACCTGACTCAGTTACACCAGTTCTGTCAGGAGGAACGGGCCAAAACTCCAGCAAACTATTGTGAAAAGCCTGTGGAAGGAAACTCAAAACATTTGACCCGAGTCATACAGTTTAAAGGGGGTGGAGTCTATCCCAGCTGACTCAGAGCAAAGGCAGGGGACACCCTAGACAGGTCGCCAGTCTATCACAGGGCTACATAGAGAGACAACCAAGCACAGTCACATTCACACCTATGCGGACAGTTTAGAGTCGCCAATTAACCTCAGCATGTTTTTGGACTGTGGGAGGAAGCCGGAGAACCCGGAGAGAACCCACGCTGCATGGGGAGAACATGCAAACTCTGTAAAAAAAATCTTATCTCATCTTATCGTATTCAGTCAGTCAGCCATGTCTAATTCTCCCCTGAAGGTTTTTTGGTCCATTAAACCTCCTGGGGATTTAGCGGTGTACAGCTGCATACTCTAGGCACACCTGCACTGTGCATCACAATTGTTTCAGTTTCTTTGGTATGTTTTATCTAAAACACAATGCAGCCAGACATTCATCCATACTCATGTCTGAGTTTGGATTGAAGAGACATGGTAATTGCTGAACCCTCTTTTCCATACATCCTTTTTTGCTGTGGGTTTGTCATGCTCTCACTATGCCGTGTTTCACTGTTAACAAAGCATATAACAGAAGAAAACATAGAATATGTTTGCAGACATGGTGGCATGAAATATTGTCCTTCCAATGTCTCCTACCGCTTGCTGTTGCTTCACTTTTTGACCTTTAATCTTCCACAAAAATGAGCAAACCAATATAAGTATTCTCAAGTATTCAACTATCTTCGTCAAGAAGAGTTCAAATGCAGATTTTATGTGTTGAACATGACTGGCTGCACATGAAATGGACCTTGGAACCATTCTGATGACATAACAGCGCTAATTATCAACCCTGGAAATCAAGTGAGGAGAGGAAGCATAATAATTTTCCATTTTTGGAGAGCATCTGGAGGTGGCTGAGTAACAGGAAGGTCAACACTAAGGGTTTCATTCTCATCAGGGGAGGATGTCTCATCATCAAAGTTGTCCTTGACATTGTCCTGTTCCTGTGAGCAGTCGACACCACAAAACACTGTGAATTCACAGTGAAGGCAGTAAAATTGTGACCAGCAAGTATCAGATTGTGTGTCTCATGGGTTTCTTCCACTTTGCACACAAAAGCAGTTTCTACATTGAGCAGTTGTTAGTGTTGGCATCCTGTGCGAAGGCCTTCTTTGTAAAAATATGTTTTGCACAGCAAGCCAATGTAGCTATTACACATTTTGCTGTGAAAATGCTGCGAAGGCTTTTGCATGTTTGCACCTTCCCTGTGATGGATGATATGGGAACTGTCTATAAATGTCCCTGAATCCAAATTACCCCCAATGAACACTGCCATTTATGAATAAAATGTATGCAGGACACCAAACATGTCACCACAACAGTTTTATGTTTGTTCAGTTGAAAAAAGTCATCATTTATTTAAAGTTGCTAAACATTGCATGGCATCAGATCGGCCCTAAAGATAATAAGAGGGTCAAGTATGAAAGTTAAATAACTGAAAGAAATATCAAATCTAAAATACTGAAAGTGTACCCTGCTTTAAGTTTTACCGTCATGTATTTCTGGTTTGTAGAATTACTAGCAGATTACTGTAACAGCATTCTAAGTTGATTTTTCCTCCGGACTTACCAATGGTAGAGACTACAGTTCCCACAAAGTAGAAAGCACCTGGGAGGTCCCACTGGGCCCTGCCTTGTTCTGTCCGAATGCCTGCGGTCCTGGCCTCCTCAAAATGACGCAACAGAGATTTTAGGTCCTCACAAGTAACGTTGTGCTCATGACTAAAGCTCCTTAGCCTCCTTTCCCAGAGCTGGTGGGCCTGCAGCTCTGCTGGCCTCTCCAAAAATGAAAATACGGCAGCACCAGCCAGCATGTAAAAAGCAATGAGCACTCCGAGCAGACAGAAACGAGCCATTTCCCTGCTGGGGACCAGGGATGAGAAGCAGCACAAGGACTCTTTCTTCATAGCCATTAGTGAGGGCTGCAGACAGAGTTGCTTCTTTGTACTAAGCAGCAGCAATAAGAGAAAAGATTTCTGCCGTTTTCTGATACCATCAGTATACAGGTGACACAGGAAATACAGTTTTTAGTCCAGTTAGCTTTCCTCTCTGTCGTCTAGTTCATCATGCAACTCCATATTAGTCAACGCAAGTCTTAAATTATTACTACTTACAAAACAATCATTTCTCCGGCTGAACCTGCGTTAGTAACCTTTGCTTCTGCGTCTGCAGGTGGCTTTAGTGGTGCCTTTAATGATCTGTCTGTGGTTACAGCTTATCACCAGCTCAATAATCCATCTTCACTCTGCTTTTATGAGTCACAAACAAATGCTTCTGTTCTCCTGCAGTCTTTTTGGTCAACATGAGCACACCAACATAAAACAGACTATACTATATGTTTGCCTACTGCCATTGCTTCCTGTGCAAACGTTCCACTTGACTAGACTTTTTTTTTTTTCTTTTTTATTCTGTTTCTGTGTTTGGAAATGTGAACCTCAACTTACAAAAAACTAGAGTTGGCCTTTACAAAAGTGCTCCTATCGAAACACTGGTCAAGTAAGGAGTCTTAAATGATGATGTAGGTAAAGTGTAAATGTTAGGACTGTTGTATGATTTCATCAGTACAAGTCACATTCTTAAACTCCATGACCTTATTTGCCTAAATATAGTGACTTAACAAAGTATTAACAACAAGTCGCAAAATAGGAATAACATGTTTGATTTTAAAAGGACAGACATGAAATATGAAGATGTTAACGCCATGTTAATTAGTTTGGTATCTCCCTAAAAGCTTCCAGTATGTTGTTAAGCATCTATGGTATTTCATCTGTAAAGGCAAGCCCATTGTATTTCCACATTCCAGTCTGCAGCCTGCAAACGTCTCCAATTAGGAATGTGGGATGAACTGGAATGGAACAAAACAGTACCAATTTGAAAGGAAAGATCCGTTGACAAATATTTACTTTAGGTTTTACTTCTCCCTCCTTGTTCCTCATTTCCTCTGACTTGCCGTAAACACACATGTGTGGTATTAATCAATTTCTCCATGAGGAACCTTAGCAATATAAATAGAAACTATTTTGGGAAACATTTCATCCCGTGACACCTATAATGAGATGACTCAGTGGCTCTTTTATGCTGTGGGAAACATATGCTGGCATGGTTTGGGTGTTTTTGTCTCCTTTCTAGGATGGGCTACTGCAAATTAATACAGATGTTTTCTTAGGGATCACCTTTATCCTATGATGAAACATTTTAATTCTGATGGAAGCGTCTTCCAGGATGACAGTGCCTCTGTCCACAGGGCAAGAGGGGAAACTGAATGGTTTGATGATATTAAACAGATGTGACAACCTTCATGGTCTCCAGATCTTAATGAAATTGTAAATGTAAGTGCAGAACTGCAGAATTGTACATCTTAACCCAGGTGAACACTGACGTGTTAGACAGAGCACTCTACTACCATCATCAAAACACCAAATAAAGCAATATCTTTTGGAAGAATGATGCTCATTCCTTATAATGCAAAGCTGCACTGAAGTTGTTGAATTTAGAACAGGTCAAGACTAAATTAGTAATTAAGTTAAATAAATACCGGCCCAGACTTGGTAATATCATGTTAGGAAGGTATTGCTTAAGTAATACGATTTTACAAGGAATCTGCAGGTGCAGGGGACAGGTGGAGGACCTTCCACGATGATAGTGATAAAACTACCAGGTTGAGCAGAGCCATAAAACTGCTATTAGGATTAAGTCAAAACAGGACTCAAAGCTGTTGTAAGAAGTCTGGTAGGACTATAAACTCCATTAGCAGTACTGTTCAAAGAAGTGTTGAGGACTGAGACAATAAAACAACAAAATAAATAAAAAATCTAAAAACAAATGGGATATTCTTTTTTTCATATATTTTTGGGGCTTTTGCCTTTATTTTAGAGCAGTAGAGATAGACAGGAAAGGGGGGAGAAAAATGGGGAGAGACCTGCAGCAAAGGGGCGTGAGCGGGAATCAAATCCACGACCACTGTGTCAGGGAACTACAGCCCCTGTTCATGGGTTGCCCGCTCAACTAGATGAGCTATAGGAGCACTCAGCAAATGGGATATTCTGACAGTAAACTCACAGGATATGCCAAACGCTGCTCCTCCACATCGAAAGGAGCCAGTTGAGGTGGCTTGGGCATCTTTTCCGGATGCCTCCTGGACGCCTCCCTGGGGAGGTGTTCCAGGCGCGTCCCACCGGGAGAAGACCTGCAGACTATGTCTCCCAGCTAGCCTGGGAACGCCTAGGGGTCCCCCCGGAAGAGCTGGGGGAGGTGTGTGCAGATCGGGAAGTCTGGGCGGCTTTGCTAAGGCTGCTGCCTCCGCGACCCGACGCCGGATAAGCGGTAGAAGATGGATGGATGGACTTGCGAAAGTGGCAAAAAAAAAACAAAAACAATTCTGAAAGTAAATTAGATGAAGAAAAATGCAAAGAACTAGTAGATAGAATAGAAAAAGAATGTGGGGGAAGAGATAGAAGAAAAAAGAAGGATGGCAGGAAGCAAATAAATGGTTAGAACAAAAAAATAAGCAAAATAAAAAGGTAGTAAAAACAGAGAAGTTAAAAAGAGAGAAAAACAGAGAGGCCAAATGTTGGAGGACAAGCAAGATGTGAATGCTGTCAGCCAGATGAGGGGACGCCCACTACCTGCAGCGCAAGAGCAGGCAGACCAGCTAGCGGCACAAAACGAACGGCAGAAGGAAGCCGCGGGGGGAGTAAACAAAGAGCAGACATCGTCCCCATTGCTCCACCTGTCCCCCAAATGTACCCCGACTTATCAAGTCAGACAAGTAGTTCATCTACACAAGCATTGAGTCCATTCAGATTAAGGTCAGGCAAAATTGCAAACCCATTTATGAGAAGAAGTGTTTTGGACTCAAGATCAAGCACAACAACCTGAAATGCTACAATGCCCAATGACTGATGTTCCAAATCCAATCCAGGAGACAGTAGAACATCCCCAGGCATCAACCATGCATGTATTCCGCCCATGGACATTAGATGACATGAAAAAAGCTGCTGAAGGCATAACCAATCACAAAGTTAATGTGGCAGAACAGGAGACAGGTGTCAGAGGACTCATGCAGAGGGATCATTTGAAGTCCAAAGGCTTTTGTTGCTCCTCCTCGGACATGATCGGATAGAGTCCGAGGAACCTATACTGGTATGACCACCACAGGACTTTTCATGCAGCCAGATTCTGTTGTCTTACAGATAGTGATAGATCTGGTCCTGACAGGAGAGTCAGTTCAACATGATAGAGTGAGACTCCAAAAGATGTTTGATGCACATAATGGACTGCAGCCACTGGCAGCTGTGGATCCAACAGGCTCTTATGAGCAGCAGTTAAAAAATGCATTCATGTTGGGCCTCAAGCCCCAAACAGCTGACTATGTGCGTAAACACATGGTAACACATTGTACAGGCTCACTGGCCGATGTGCTGCAATATGCTGAAAACTATGAAAGGCGTTCTGAGGTTAAAGGGAAAAAAAAAAACTAAAACATTCTACAGTGGAGCTCAGATGCGGAGGTAGAGAAGCTCAGAGACGAGGGCCAGGAAAGCCACAGTCAGATGATGTTTACAACCATTATGCCAGAGATTGCCTCAACAAAGGAGGAATCAGAGCATGACTAACTGATCACATGTCCACTGAAAAACACAGGAAGCGTGGGATCAGGAAAACCACTCCTATGACAAGTTTTACAGAAATAGAAGTAAATTATAGAACAGCATGTGAAATCCTAAAACTAGATGTAAAACCCTAAGTGCAACTAAATGTGGGAGGCAAACAAATGACTTTCTTGTGTGATTCAGATGCTGCCTCAACTGTAATAACAAACAGAATTTCCAAAAACGAAAGCCACAGGAGAAAAAGTATTGGCACAAACAGCAAATGGTACTTTGCACATGCAACAATACACAGAAACATAAAAATAGTGACCCACAGACAGAAAAATCCTATGTCACAGTACTTCTGTTATCCTCAGCATTCCCAGTTAACCTGTTGGAGGAACTGCAAATTGGTGTTGTTCCAACCCAGAAAGGCATGACAGCTATGAGAATGACATGCCAAAAATGTTGTCTATGAACCATGACAGCCATACTATTGGTACAGTCTGGACCTGCAAAACAAAGGCCCAGGCAGTATCAATAAAGATTTCTTAAATTGGAACAAGAGAGCCCATCCCAAGCTGCAAATGTAATGCCTGCAGATGAATTACATTGCACAATGTATTACAGAGGAGCACTTGGCCCAGACAAGGATTTAAAAAAAAAACTTCTTTAAACATGCTCAAGGCGTATTACATCTGAGCCACCTTCACTTGGACGAAAGCGGTCACTGCGGAGCAGCCTGCAAGATCCTGTTGCCTTTTAACTGTCTGTGCAGAACTGGCTATGCACCACACGTTTCCTTAACCAAACCAAGCTATGCTGAGTGGAAAGGCAAAATAGTGACACTAAACTGGCTCCCTCATGGCAAACCAAACCGCCATGTGAGGAGTGGAGCCAGCAAGATCCTGAGACTTACACCTCCTCACAGCTGAACAGGAAGCAGACTCATCCTCACTTCCTGACAGCTTATGGGCTAAAAGTAAAACAGATGTAGGGTTGATTAAAGAATGCATACCAGTGAAAATTAAACCAAAAGGCTCTCAGAGGCCATATAAACGTCAATACCCGTTAAAACCAAAAGCAAAAGAAGGTATTAAAAGCACAATAGAGGGCTTGCTCAAAGTAGGTATTTTAGTCCCATGTGATGATTTGCCATGCAATACACCTTGTTTCCAGTTAAAAAGGCAGCTACCTCCACTGGTTGGAGGATGATTTAAGATTTGCAAGCAGTAAACAAAGCAGCTGAAGCCAGAGCACCCAAT